GATAATAATAATGATGATGATATATTACGAAATAATTGGAATAATAGTCTTTTCGAAGATGATAATCACAAAGAACATAATAGTTGGAATAATTGAATTACAATTTAATGAATAATCATGAACATTTCTAATTTTTGTTGATAAGTATCTGTTATTTTTCTTTTAATTAATAAGCAATGCAAAAGTCTTTGAAGGAATATCAACATCTATTTTTCAACAATGTAACATCGAATTGACTTAGATATTTTCCGTTTGAAGAATATATAGAAAAAAAAATCGATATTCTGGAATAGCCATTTTTATATATCGTTCTCATTGCCGAATATCATAGGAGATGGGACGGGAAAAAAATCGTTCCTGCAGAACACTAATAAACATTTTATTATAATACTACAAAAAAATACTATAATATATACGTTGTAATGAGAACAACATATCTGCTTGCAAACACTTACATTGGCGGTCATATTAGTTTATATTTCGACACTTCTCTCGCTTATTTCTTTTTCCATTAATATTTATGTGCTGCTAGGACCTGGTGACTATCCGTTGTTACAAAAATACCAAAAGAAAATTATTGTATACAAAAGAAAAAACTTTAGACAATAAAATATGTCAATAATATTAGGAAAATGGAATGAATATTCATTGAACTAGTATTACCTAAGCAGACAAGAGTTTCTGAAAATGCATTAAAATGCTTTAATTATGGTTCCCGTTTAGAGTCCATCGAGTTAAAGTTCGAAAATTCTAGATCCGATGAGCTCTATTCCCATTTGGGCTTTTTCACACTCATTCAGAAAATACAAAATCCAGTTACTGTCATCATAAAAAAAGGTGTTTGGACATGCTCTCAAAAAGACAATTTTTGGCATCTGGAAAAACGTGTGAAAAATTATTTCCACACTATGTTGACAAGTATTGCAAATGAAAATGACTTTTTTTTGTGCGTGGTGTATGTCAAAAATATGGTGAGAAAACTTTTTGGATGTTTTCCTGCTGGAAAATGTTGTATATTTAAATGTGTTCAAGCACTTTTTATAATGAAAGTAGCTAGTTTTAGTATTTTCTGAATAGACATGAAAATGCTCAAAAAGTAATCATGATTAAAGGACTTTAAAATGTTTTCAAAAACTCATGTCTGTTTGAGTACAACAATCACCATCATGATTTTCACAAAACAAAACAAAAAATAATGAAGGTTTAGAAATTTTAGAATGTCATATTTTATGTTGTAATAGATGTCTATGAATGCTTTATGTAAATAAATAGACGTCTACTACAATATGACATTCAAGATGATTTACATAATAAAAATTTACGTATTCTAGTCGGAGTTTGAATTAATTGGAAAGAGAATCATTTTTAGTAAGTTCAATGTGATATGTCAAATAGTAAAAATAGAACAAATGTATTCAGATTTGTTTTCTTATTGTTGATGAATAATTTCAGGAAATATTATTAGTATATAGCATATATGAAATAATGATATTGAGTGAAATTTATCAGTAATTAATGAATATCTTACAAAATTTTTACAATTGTGTTTGTTCTTGAATATGAAACATTCAAACTAAGAATTTGTTCAATTTTAGATTGATCTAGGTCAATCTTGGACTGCAGATCGATGTTGAATTTGAGTTTTTATTAGTCAACTTCGATGAAGGAATGGCATTTCAATTATTACAAACATCAATCGATGACTTAGGGCCTTTCGTTTCACAAAAAAAAAATCGGTTTTTTTAAAAAAAAGATAGAGTTTTAGAGATAAACACATGGGCATGATGTCCAAATTGTCTAGTTTGATAAGGCATAAAAATGGCTTCCAATTTTAAAAAGTCTTTCCAGAATTCACAATAAGTTTCTAGTGCTCTTCAGTGGAAAGCCCAATATCTAAATACATAGGAAAATTATAAGCGTAATGGTAATTACCGCTCCCTATCATAGCATAACGTATAAAGGCAAGATCATTTAATAAGACTCTGAATGAACTTTTAATTGATACCTAATATAATAATAATTGATACTCATATCAGAAAACCCTTCAAGTAAATATACAAAAAAAAATGTTCGTATGTTTGTTTCGAAATTTGGTTTTTTACATAAATTATCGAATTTCGAAGAATTTTATTCGGATGAGAGAGAGAAGAGTTTTTTATTCGACCGTCAATCTCAAAGTAATCATCGATTTTCTAGGAAACATTGCCTAAGATTTTGAGAGTCTTAAAATTTTAAGAACCCCACAATGAAATTAAATTGAAATAAAAAAAAACCGTTTGTCTCATCAGAAGTGATAAGGAGTCCTTTTTAAAGTAAGAGAAAATCTGAGCGCTTTTGCTTGAAGTTTTTAAAAAAAACATTTGCATGTGTGAAAGCTCTATTTTATAGTCTGGCGACTGAAAAGCTCCTAAACGATAAGGTTTGGAGTCATGAAAACTTTTTTATTGGTATACTTTCATTAGCCGAATATCTTCAGAAAGTTTCTTGGAACTTTTATGCATTGTATCGAAAATCGATTTTAGAGGAAGGAACTCTTAACTAAAGATTCGAGTACTAATAAACAATTTTCTATTGAAGCAGTTTTTGTGTATAAAACCATCCATAAATTCACGAATTCAAACTTAATTGATCAACTGATGATTGTGTCAATTGAAATGCGATCCGTTTCATTAGAGTTTATCAATAAGAATTCAAATCCCATATTAATTTGAAGATTAATTCAAGTTTTAACGTAAATTCCTCTCACAATCCTACATTGAACGCATCCTATCTGAGATCTAAGATTCATCTAAACTTATCCACAATAGAAGGTAATGCTAGTTTGGACACAAACACATATGTCTGTATAGATATGAATCAAGTCATTAATAATCGGAAGTAACTTTGTTTCCATGTTAACTATCGACGTAATGTGACATTTTCATCTTTGTGTTGATTTAAGAAATTTTTCAATGAGAATGAAAACACTGAAGAAAACTAATTATTTCCCAGTTTGCTGTAATTATACGAGACATATCTATTTCAAAATAATAGTATCTTTCAAGATGAATTAATCCGTTGTTCCTCTTGATTCAACTTCTTAACCTTTTATTTTTCCAGAAAAATATTATTTATTCATAATTTAAACAAGCAACTACTTCAAGTCTAACTTCATCAACAAAATAATGATAACCATGAGCAAATCCTAATATTGATCTTGAAGTACATGAACGGATTACACTCTTAAATCCTTTAGTTAAGCAACAAAAAACAACAATATACAATATAATTAATTCATAGCTATTCATAATCTTCTTTAATCATTTTCATATATAATATGTTCAAATATATATGATTCTAAGCTAAAGCAATCGATATAGACTTTTGTGTTTCATTAAATTTTTCAAACACTGAACAAAAATTTCATTATTTTCCACTACTATGTTGATAACATTGATTATTATTAATTACAAAAGCAATTTACAAAAAAACTTTTATTTTTAAATTGTCAGATTTTTGTTGATTAGATATCAATAGAAAGAAAACCCTTAAATATCAAGTTTATTTTAATCTAAAAACTTAGATTGTTTCTTTTTTCTTTTTTTCGTTCTTTCATTTCTAATCGAATAACAGAATGAAAGAAGACGAGAAGGGAAAAAACCTTGAGCTTAAAAAAATAATCTCTAATTATATATGGGGAAAAAACCTCATTCGATAAGCAGCTTTTTCACATATATATATATATATATTTACATAAAGAATGATAAAACAAGATATTATGGAACTTCAATCAAATTTTAGTAAGAGAAATTAGAATTTAGATTTTTTAATAAAGTTTTCTTTTTTTTTTTATTTGAGAACAATGCTATTGTTGTCAATCACGTTTAACTGGTAAATCAATACAATTTGCTATACGCAGTCGACCATTTCGAGATATTAATACTTATAAACGACCATGTAGTATTTGTCGTAATGTGATGTTTAAACAAATCGAACAAACTCATCAGATTAAAAACAATATAAAATGTTTAAATGAAAATAAATGAATAAAATTTCAATATGTTTGCGAGTTTTAAATAAATACATTGATATAATTAAAAAAAAAAAAGAAAATTGAATTTCAAATATCTTAATTAAATAATAACTATTTGACCTCTCTATAAATGACGTCAACGTGGGTTTTTTCCTATTTTTAAACGATTGGAGGAAGTTTTTAACGAACCATAAAACTGTCCGAATGGAACTAAGTCATTGTTAAATGAATTTCTATTTTGAAACTAAATGAACGAAAATAATTTAAGTTATACTGAATTGAGAAATTTATCAAAAGAAATTGATTATGAAAAACAGAATGCTAAATTAATTGTATTTGAATTGATTGATTTACTTAATGATGAAAGATCATATCGAGATATTGGAATTATTACTGAAATAACTAAAACTATACATTTATTAATAAAACAAGGTGGTTCTCGAAGAAAAGAAATTCTTGCTCATCCAAATGTGAGTAATATTCTTCATCTTTATGTCTAATCACGTAGACAGAAACATACGTGATTATACTGAAGAAAAATTGTTTATTAAAGTGATATCAATTCAATTCTTTTTTTTGGTTTGAAAAAAAAATTTCTACGGGGACGAATGATTGACCTTGAAAATTTGTCCTTAAATTTGATACATAATCGGATTTTATATCGAATGAAATTCATTATATTCTCTTATTCAAAGAATATAATTGATCATAGTAATGAATAATTTAATTTTCTATTTATATTGAAAATTTGAATAGAAATAAAATCTTATTAATACGAAAAATGAAAAGATTATATTAATTTTACCCAGTAGAAAGATATTTAAAGATTAGTTTAAAGTATTAATAAAATCTATTATGAAACATTTCGATTCAATATATTTATAATTTCAAACAAAAAACAAAATTGTTCAATTCATTTTATTTTCTCATTGTTTAGTTGATAACATCTTTAATAAAATTATTCAACACCGACAATGATCTAACACGTTTATTATCTAGTTTATTTCATGATCTTTCAACTGAAGAAGATGGAATCCGATTATTACTTCTTACTGGTGTTATACCAATTCTTCTTCAAACACTTGAGTATAAATAAAAAGAAAATAATATTTATTATCTTATCGTTTTCTTTTAATTCTTTGAATAGATCGTTAAATGATGATGTCATCAATTTTGTGCTTACAACACTTCGTAATTGTCTAATTGGTTTAAATAATGAATCAGCGAAAGAAATTCAAATACATAATGGTTGTATCATTCTTATATCATTACTTATTCATCGACATTCAAATAAACAAATGAATTTTCTTGCTGATTGTTTATTACGTTTAGCAATGTTTAATACAAATGCACAAGTAAATAATTCCAAAAACGAAAACAACAAATTTAATTAATATAAAAATTTTTTTGTTTATTTCTTATTTTAGATTTATTTACAAACAAGTAAATTATTTTTACAAGAATTAGTTACTATACTTGATGAAACAAATTATAATAAATTATCATTTACATTAATACGAATGCTTCCATTATTATCATCAAATATAAATACAAAATCAATATTAATACAATTTAATATAATTCCAATACTTGAACGTATATTACATATGAAACATGATTATAAAATTCAACGTTATTGTCTTTTAACATTAAGAAATTTATCAGATCAAATTATTCATATGGTAAATATTAATTGAATTTATGTTTTTTGTTCTTTTTTTTTTGTTAAATATTTTTTAGGATAATTTTGATTCATTAATTGTTACACTTATACAAATACTTTCATCGAATAATGATATACATATAAAAATTTATATTGTTGATATTTTATCTAATTTATCATGTGAAAATCAATCAAATAAATCTTTAATGATAAGAAATAATGTTATTCAATTACTTGTTAATATTATTATTCAAACTGATCAACGAGATGATATTATTGAACCAACAGTAAGTAGAAAATTAACAAAGGAAAAGATATATGAGAAGTTTATTATTGAAAATGAAAAAGTTAAAAAAGTTCAGTATTAGTTCTGTTCAATGCTTTATTCAGCGTAAGAGCTGAGAGGACGACATCCCTCCGAACATCGAGTTGATCCTTCGGGAAATGAAAATCTCGATAAAACATGGGTTTTGTTAAGATCTGTATACAAGACGTTCTCAAATTCCGCTAAAAAAAGAACATGAATAACTTTGAAATAATTCAAGTGATATCCGTGAGTTTTCTATAGTTTTATTCTATGGTTTTTTAAAGCTTTGTTTTACATAATTCCATCGAGGTTCACCGCTTAAAATGAGTACACTGAACTGAAACATGTAATTCATTGTTAGTTCAACGTATACATTATCTTTCATGCATCTCCTTAGAAAAACTTCGAATGATGCTAAATGATATGAGCACGAAACTCATCAAATAGAACCAATTTTTTGAACTCTACATGATAGGAAAAGAGCTGCTCAAAAATCGAAGTACTTTAGAGTCGAAATCTAAAGAAGTTTCATCATGATTCTATATGATATTGAACAAACTTTGTAAACAAGCAGAACGCTTGATGCTCGTACACTTCCACTACTAACATGAGCTTAAGTGACTTTTATGTCATTATTATTGTAAAATGTGCATGATCTGCTACAATATCATTTTAATAAAAGTAATGAGAGAACTCGTTAATATCATTTTTATTTGATGTTTCTTTGTCAAATCTGACTGACAGCTTTCGTTTCATGACTGTAAATGACTCAAATTTGATTACTTATGGAATAATTTCTATTCTAATTTCCATAGGTATAGTTATTTCATTTGAAATATGCTGAATAAAACTTTGATGAGTATGAAAATTAAATGATGAAATAAACATGTATATTCATTAAATTGCTGAAGAATTATTAAAGTTTTATTTTCTGAATATCCTATACAACAGGACTCTGCATGGTATGGAATAGGACAGAAAAAATAGTTTCATGGGATAAACTATCATGACTTGTCCTATGGGATGGAATTGTCCCACCCCACGCGGAACCCTGCTATAGAATGAAATGATATTTTTCGTCTTATAAGCTTAACATTACTTTCGTGTTTTTCTTCAGTTTAACGAGCAATAAACTAGAATTTCCAATTTGATGCATGAAATTAATTTCTAATCTAAGAAGAACTAACAGAGATTGATTGATTAATTATTATATGTTTACAGCAATGCTTTGAATCTTTTAAAGTGTTTTTGTTGTGAAGAAATATTTTAAAAAATCTTTGATAAGAGACATGGAAATAACACGTCTAGGAATAATTTGGGTCATATTTGACTCATTGGATGTCAATGACATATAAAATGTTTTTTTTTTCTAAACCCATTGCGTGTCAATATAAGTTTCTAATTAATAATATGTTTATGTGAGAAAGTTTTCTTTTATAGAACTAACAGACATTCGAAAGAAAAACAGGATACTTCTGGTTTTTGAATAAGTTTTTAAAAAGATCTGGTTTTTGTTACAATCTTCTTTCTTGATTAAGCTATAAAAATAGAGAAGAATGATTCCAGATCAAATGTTTAAAAAAAGGAAGAAAAATAACAACAATAATATTGACGATTCCAATACAATTTAAAAAATAACAGAGCTGATTGCAAGCGAAATCTGATTCCGAAAATAGCGAATTTTATCTATGTTTGATCATGTTTCATTTTGAAATTACTCATTTGTTTTTGTTGAAACAATTCATAATAAGAAGAACTTACTAGTTTCATACAAATCAAATAAATACATAATTACGACAAGTCATAACAAAACCAGATAAAATTTTTATGTCATTCAATGCGAATGAATCGTTAGCATTAGCTATTTTATATCTCTACATTAAAAAAAACTTCACTTAGATTTACTTCTACTACGTATTATCGTTTTGAACATTTACTATATAAACTATTTTCATGATTGACTTAAGGATATCACCTCTTTCTTAGTCATTTCTGGTGTTCGAAGAAGGTATAACCGAGCCGCATGAAATTTTTACTTCAGGTAGAGCGCCGAAAATAAGGAAATATGGGTTCGAGAAAAAATGTTTTAAATAAGGTCTTCGCGGTTTTTTCGGGAATCTCTGGTATTACATCGAGCCTACTTGCGACCTCCGTTTAACTTTGTCTGATCAGACTGAAAATATTTTTGAAGATACCTTAGACTATGTCTTAGATGTAATTTTAAGCTTTTTAAAAAAATGTCGCTCTTTGTCTTACGAAAGAAATACGTAAAGATTTGGATCTAAATCGGAGTGCTAGTGTTCAGGACTCTATAAATCTGCATAGGAAGGTCAAAAACGAAAATAGCTAATTCCACCTTCGAAGAATATTTTCAAGTATTTGTGGTCAGAATTTCAGTCCATTCGGATAGAGTAAGAGAGTGGGTCGTAAACAGGTCCGATGTGACACCATAGCCTCTCGAGAAACCTTGTTTAAAAATTTTTCCCTCGAATACATGTCTCCTTACTTTAGGTACTCTGTCTATAGTAAGAATTTCATATGGATCGGTTGTATGCTCTTCGAGAACTAGAAATGGGCAAAAAAGAAGGCAATATCCTTAATATCAAATCTGTTCAATTAGTTCTTAAAAATTAATAATATGTACTATTTATATAATTATCAAATCATTTTAGAAGTCTTGAAAAAGCAAGCTATTTTTGCAATATTGGATCAATTCTAACAAGTATAATATTCCCTGTCAAAAATCATACAAATCTTTTGCAGTATAGTTTGTCTTCCTCGATACTTCTTTGTGCTAGAATATAATTAATTTCTTTACATTCGCGAGTTACTTAGAGTACATGACACATTCTTATATTTAGAGCGTAGAAATCTCCAATAGAAAAAAAAAACAACTCGTCATAAATAAGATATTTCTTTTTTTTCATAATAGATATGTACTCTTCGACATCTAACTGGTAAATGTCCATTAGCAAATCAAGCACGTGAATATATTCGAATAAATCATGCAATACCATATCTTATAAAATATCTTCATACAAAAGAGAATAATTGGTCTTTACTTAAAGCATGTATTGGTCTTATACGTAATTTAGCTTTATCGTCGAATAATTTAATAATATTATGTGAACATCGAAGTGTATATAAAATAGGAAAATTATTTTTTCAAATGCGAACAATATCTGAGCGTAATGAACTATTTATAACAACATTATTTGTTTTTTCTCGACAACAAAATGAAAAACTTCAAATGATTATTTATGATCAAATTATTTATTCAGGTTGTATTGAAACACTTGTTCAAGTAAGACGAAAAAAAACAATAATAATAATAATAATAATTTAGTTTTTCTTTTCTAAAATATATTTGATGTTTATAGTTTGCATTGTCGAATAATCTTGGTCGAATTCATCAAATGTCTAAAGCAATTTTAGATGATTTACGTCATAGCAATCAAATCGAACATCGAGAAATAATCAACGAAGCAGAAAAATCGATTAAAATTGCACAATTTTTACAATCTTAAAGTGTTTTTTTTGCCTTTGGTGTATAAACTATATTTATTCAAATATAAAACAGATTTAATTAGTAATCAAATAATTATTCTTTTGATTAGAAACTAAATACAATGATAATCATATAATCGATTCTAGTGAACTTTTAGACAAAGAGAATCATGTTCTATGTAATCATGTTTCTTTTTAACCTAATATTTATTTAGTAAACAAATATAAATGAGATTTGAGAAAAAAAATCAATTGAAATAGGTTTTTTTTTCTATTGATTTATATCCTTGCAGTTATATTATATGTCGGAGAAAACTTTATTTTAAGTAAAACAAAAAAAGAAGAACTGTTATGGCACGTTTGTAAAAGAGTATGAAAAAAAAATTTTCACATGAAATAAAACAATATAGAAAAAATTAAATTGGAAAAAAAGATATTCAGTTAATGATTAGACAAAAGAAATTCAGACAAAATAACTAATTACCTTGAAAACCATCATAAAAAAAATGAATTTCTTGTTTCTTTCTTCTGATTGAGTTATTGAGGACGAAACTTATCTCAAATAATAAAAAAGAAGATTCATATAAGATATATTTAAAATCGATTTTTCTCTGTTCCATATGATTCAAATAGCGTCAATTTACTTATCAACAGCATCACAAACCTTATTGAAAATTCATTAAATACATTCAATGAAAAAACATCTAATCATTAATATATTATTTCTAAAGTTTGATCACTTATAGAAATCAGCGTCCTCTATTGTCTATTGATTGTGGTTGATTTACTGAATTCTATTGGATGGTTATTTATATCACCTGACTGTCAACAAATAAATAAAAAATAACAACAAAAAAAAAAACAGCGTAGAAAGAAAAAAAGAAAGGTTAACCCTCATCTGATACGTAAAAAGAAGGAAGAAAAAAAAAAAGAACAAATCATGTGAGAAATTTTCATTAATGATCAAAACAATATTTCTAGGCCTTATATATTCATGTAAAGTTTAAACTTATTATGGCTAATGATCCACAACAACTTGCTTTAATAGAAAAAAGTTCACATTTAAAGTATATGATCAATAATAAAAAAATGATTTAATTTTACTGAACATTAAAATTCTTATTTCTTTACAGTTATTTACGTGATTTTCGTGTTGAACAATGTCAATTATTTCTTCAACATAAATGCACACAGTAACAAAAAAAAAAACTTATTAATTATTTATTTAATTTTTTTCTTTTTAATATTTTAATTGATAGACATCGTCCTTTTTCATGTTTTTATTGGCATTTTCAAAATCAACGTCGTCGTCGTCCATTTCGACGAAAGGACGGAACATTTTCATATGATCCTGATTTTTATTGTAATGATTATGATGAACAAAGTGGTATTTGTTCGAATGGTGATGAGTATGTTTAATAAGTTAATGAATTTTTTACATTTTTCTTAATAAAATATTCATTCTAGTTGTCCACTTTTACATCGAAATGCAAATGATACAGAAAAACGTTATCATTTACGTTATTATAAAACAGGTTTATGTACACATGAATCTGATGCAAAAGGACATTGTCTTAAAAATGGTCCACATTGTTCATATGCTCATGGTGCAAATGATTTACGACAACCGGTTCTTGATAGTCGAGAAATACAAAATAGTGATTTAGCTTTAGAAAGACTTGCACGTTTATGTATTAGTTTAGAAAATGAACGAGCTTTAAATGATGATCCTAAATGGAGTGGTAAGAAAAAAATCAAAAATTAAAAATTAATTCAATATATATGTAAAGAAAAAAAAATCTTAAAACTCATTTAGATTCACATTATGTTCTTGCAAATTATAAAACAGAACCATGTAAACGTCCACCACGTTTATGTCGACAAGGTTATGCTTGTCCACAATATCATAATCCTCGTGATCGTCGACGTAATCCATCAATATTTAAATACAAGTAATTTATCAAAAGAAAATTTTATTCTAATAATTTTCAAAAAAAAAAAAAAAACCACATTATATAGATCAACACCATGTCCACATGTTAAACAAAGTGATGAATGGATTGATCCAACTGTATGTGACGCTGGTGATAGTTGTAAATATTGTCATACACGTACCGAACAACAATTTCATCCAGAGGTTTGCTTTAAATAGAAATCGAATATTTTATTTTTCATATTATTATTTTAAAGATTTATAAATCAACTAAATGTAATGATGTTTCTGTAACTGGATATTGTCCACGTGGACCATTTTGTGCTTTTGCACATATTGAACGTATGTATTAATTTTAAACGAATGCTTCTCTTTATGAATTACTTCTGAATTTATCTGTTCGAAAATTTTATAGTAATGTTTGATAGAAAAAGAAAAACGTGTCGATAAAACTCCTCTGGGAATAAAATGTAGAATTCATATGTGTTCTTTAACCTCACTAGAATAATGTAAAATACGTTAAGTAAACAATTTCTAGCAGACTATAGTTGATTTTCAAGAATAATCAATTTCTGGAGAAATGATCTGTTGTATTTATTTTCTTTCTTTTTTACTAGTGCTCTATTTTTTGTTTGCCGTGTTGTTTTTCATTTTCGTATTCTGTTTAGGCATTATTATTATTCTAACCATCGATTTAATTGACAAATAACTGCGTTATACATATTCATTACGTCTACATCAGGTCTCAACGTACTAAACTGAGAAACCCTGAAATTGATTGTTTCCTAAAGTTATAACTTGTTTAGTTCACGCTTTGTTATGTTGATCATATGACGACTGTAACAAATGAGTGCATGACTACCCATCATTCCTTGACATTCTGAGTATAATTTTTTTTATTTGCTCTATTTAAAATGTTGATAAATGTATTCTAGTCATTGAAATTTCGAGCAAGACTTTGGAATTTCTAGAATAGTCTAAGTCTTGTTGTTAGTGATCGTTCAGTGCTTATTGCCTTTGTTAGGAAATTTTGGGGAGAGAATCTGAAGACTGTTGTCCTCGGTTGTTAAGAAAATCTACCCAACGATCATTGGCCTTCTCTTCTGTTCTCTCTGCCATGGAAGGGACGGGAAACCATAAAATTTCAACTTAAACCTTATACGCACTACATATTTCTTCGAAAAACATAATTGTAGGCATACTAATGTTATATCGATGTTCGATCATATCGATATGCTAGTTATATCACTAGCTGTACCGTTGGCCTTCAAGAACAAATAGTTGAATGTATGTATCTTTGGGTTATTTTTATAAATTTGAGGTTATTCATTTTGATAACGTTGAAATTATTGTTTATCATTTAAGAATTCTGTAAATTTAAAAATATCCAAGTAAACTAAAAATAATGAAACCGATTGAATGTTGTAAAACATTCTAAATGAATTGTTTTTTTTTTGGCAAATTTTCTTTCCAATAATGAACATTTAGTGGAATAGATTTATTAATAAATATTCATAGACATAAATAAGGTTTTATCATATTCGGTTAATTAAATGAATAAGAACTGAAATATGAAAAAAACAAAACAATCAATTAAATTAAATGTGAATAATTCTTTTTTGTAGAAGAATTAAAATCATACAGAGATTTTGATCTTCATTATACAAGTGAATTACCTTTATCGTCTTTTATACCAATACCTGAAGATAAAGAAGTTGATGATACTAATGTAAGTTAGTTATTATATTAATCTTTTATAATATATTTTATTTTTTTGTTCGAATCTTAAAGACATTACTATCAACAAGAAACATTCCAAAAAAATCTTCTCAAACATCTGTATTTGAAGTTGGATCATATCCTGGTACTATTATGAAAACATTCGAACAACATTTAGCCGATAGACATGTAAACGAATTTTGGTTTTTTCTTTTTATTCTTTTTTAATTCATTATAAATTTTTTATTTTTAGTCATTATTAACAAATAATTCTGGTAGTGGTTCATTTACAATTCACGAAATGATTTCTCAACCTTCTCCATCATCATCACAACAACATCTTTTTCATCATTATCATCCAACATCACAATTACCATCAACATCGTCATTTCTTAATGATCAATTTCTTTTATCAGCTGCTGCACTTGCTGCTAGTCATTCATATCCTCCACCATCATCTTTTTTATCATCACTTGCAGCATCAAATCTTTTATCATCAATAAATGCACATATGCATTCAATATCACCTGAACAACAAGTAAGATCACCACCACTACCATCAAATTATTTAACAACTTTTAATGACAATTATAATGAGAACAAAAAATTATCTGATTATCGATCATCACCAATTGATGTTAAAAATTTAATTGGTTCGTCATTAACAGCTCTTGGATTAGATAATGTTAATGAAGATGAATTTGATAAAGCAGCAACAAATCAACAAAATAATTCACTTTTATTAATTGATGATGATATTGAAAGTTTTGAACGTTCAACAACACCAGCAACAAATAATACATCACCAACACATTTAACAACAATATCATCATTATCAACTACAACAACAAATCCAATGACAAGACCAGTTAATATTCCACATTCATTTACAAATGAACATTTTTCACAAGCATCATCAGCTAAATCACCATTCGATGCACCTAATCAATTATTTGATGGACCTTTAGAATCGGTATGTTATTATCAGCAAAAAAAAATTGGTTATATGAGACCTGTAATTGAGACTGATAAGGAGAACTTATTCGAATGTTTTCTGCCGATGTCAATGATTTTATACTTGTCGTTTGTGCTTATGTGTATTTTACAGAAACTCTTGTAGAATCAAAATGTTCGAAAAAATTGTACTGTTCAACTTTGCTCTGAAATGAGCTGCATGTAAAAGGCGCTTATCCATTAGTCTAAAAAGAGTTTTTAGACTTTCTGTCTTCAAGATTTAAACTTTTCAAAGAATAGGTGATTTTCCAAGGATATCGTACAATATAAAAATAATTTGAAAAGCTCAAATCTCGAAGAAAAGATATTTAAAAATTCTGAACTCCACTGTTTAGGTTAATAGATGGCATAACTTTAATGGAAATATTTTCAAGACAGAATTCAAAAATACAACTTTTTTCGAGTACTAAAAGATCTTACAGAAATTTCTGTAAAATAGATAAATGGAAATTGTTCTCGAGTTATTAATAGAATAGTATGTAGCGTCGGAAGAAGAGTATCTGAAAAGCTTCTATCATTAGTATGCAAATATAATTAGTGGGATTTTATATAACGTGTTAACCTTATTATAAAAAACACTTAATTCATGCAAAAGCTTACTTAGAATATACTGATGACGATAGTTGAAGTTACATGTTGAATTGGAATAGAAAATTAATAGATGCTTTTTTTCGAAAACATGTGATTCGTTTTTTCTAGAGTTTTTGTTCTGAATATTATTGAGAATTGAGTTTCAAATGATGTTTTATATTCTTTCTTCTTTGTGAACAATCTATTGAAAAATAATAATTAAAAAGATTGATCAACATACGAAATTCTTGAAAACTTTGCAGACCACAACACTATAGAATAACTGGAGTTTGCCATTATTGAACGAAGCTTACTGTTATTCATTCAATGTAGAATATTATTTCAGAGACATTTAGTTTTTAAGAAATCACACATTGAAAAGTGATAATAATTTTATATTTTAATTGTTAAAAACTTTCAAAGTTTGTTCACAGTTGTGAATATGTATATAAACAAAAACAATCATTTACTTTGCTGTTCCCAGGTGAATGAGGTACAACCGAAAAATGGTAAGAACTTGAAAGTAGAGATCCGTTCATCAGATTCAGTGATCGGATTTATCCAGTTCCGGACAGAGCTGGCAATTGAATATGATCACCAGATTCCCACTTCCAAGTTCCTACCATTTTTTGACCGCCAGCGAGCCTTTTCCTGCAAGTTCCCGTCGGAACGCATGGATTCGAGTGCTGGAATAATTGACCTTGATTTTTCAATTTAGAAATCTCCTATCCATCTCGTTTAACTAGAACCAATTACCAAAATCTTGCTTCATATATGCCTATAAAAAAGTGATAGTTGGCATTGTGAACGATATAAAACTGCAAAAATCAGTATCATTACGTCGTTGTTTTCTGTAAGCTTATAAACCGATGAAAGCAGTATGATAAAGAATGATCAGTTACTAGCGAAAAAATCAACCTGTAACATGAACTGACGAATTACAGTGAATAACAGTCCAATCATACGTCGATTTCAACAATTAGAATACTCGTTATGAGATAACTCTTAATAATTTTCTAAATATTATCATAGACTTCTCTCTTCTCTCATCAATTAAATAATCTCGAACTAATTATATCGAAATAGAAGCTATTTACTAAATCTTTAGCCTATTGATACTCCATTTCCTGAACCATCAACATCAAGTGGTGGTAATTATCGTCCTGGTGAATTATATAAAATGGCTGGTTTTAGTCAAGATTTACCAATATCATCTCATCATTTACCATCAACATCCCCACAATTAATATTTCAACGTGTTAGTACAACTAGTAATAATTCATTATCTCCTTCGTCATCTTCAACTGAAATAGATTTAATGCGAAATCGTGTATTACAAATGCAAACATTAGCAATGACAGAAAAAGAGGTTTAAATAAAAAAAAAACGAATTAAAAAATTAATTAAACTATTTGTTTTTCTTTTTGTTTTGTTCTTGTAAATATAGTCATCTGATCATTGGCGTCGTGAAGCTGAAGATAATCATCGATTAGTTATTCAACTTGAACAAGAAAAAAATCGTGCAATACAACAACGTGATGATGCACTTCATCAAATTGAACAAATGCGTCAATTACTTATACATAATATGCGTTTATTACCAAGTGATAATGATTTAATGCAATTAACACTTGATGATGTTAGATTATTACAATCACGTCTTCAACAAGAATTATCAAAACTTTCAATTGTAAATTTTATATTATTCCTTTATATTATTCTGTTTTGTGTATTTGTAGATTGAACAAACTAAATCAAATAATACTCAACAAATTTCATCAGAAATTACAACTACTACAACAACTACTGGAACTTCAACAACAACAACAATATCATCTTCATCACCTCGTCAACGACATCAAAAACATCAATCTGGCAAACATGTTTTAGTATCTTCATCTTCTAAACATTAGACATTATTATTATTATTATTATTATTCTATATTTCTTTTTTCGTTTTTGGTTTTTTACATTCACAAAGATTTATTGTTATACAGATGATAGAGTTATTATTTTTGTGTCGATCATTTTCATTGGATTTTTTTTTCTGATAATATTTTTTTTTTTTTGGAACCTCTAGGCGAATCCTTTATCTATACAAAACATATATATGTATATGCGCATTCTTAATACATTTTGATCATTTGAATGAACAGTGAGAAGTATATCGCATTTTTTGTGTGAGTAGGAAAGATTTTGTATATAGTTCTCTCGTTTTTTATTCTTGTTTGTTTTGTTTCAACATAGATAGGCATGATTATTATTGTATAAGTGCGTGTGCATGACGTTTTGTTTACGTAAAGTAGACTTGAAGCTGTCATAAAAATGCTTCTACAGAATGAGTAGTAAGAGCAGAAGCATATATATACCTGAAAGTTTTCGTTTTTTTTTCTTTCTTTCTTGGAGATTAAGGGCAACATTTGTATAGTTTTACTGTTGTTGTTTTCTTTTTTTTTAATATGTATGTGGAGTTATAAAAAAAAACGATAGGGTTATCATCTCGGTTATAGCTTGTTTTTCCTTTCTTTTCTTGTTCTTCTGTAGGTTAATCATTGCAAAGGTGTATTTACATATATAGGAAATTGTCGATTTTATTGTAGAAAAATCCTTGAGAAAACTTTTTTTCTTTCGATTTTTTTCATTCATCATATTGGTACACGTTTATTTATCTTTTAGACATATACGTACGTGTACAATTATTTCGTTCTTTACTTTTTTCTTGTTCTCCTTCTGCCCACCCCGATTTGATTTATTTGATATTTCTCAACGTTCTTTTTCTATTATTTCTGATTTGTATTTTATCTTTTGGTTTCATTTTTCATTTTTTTCTCTGATGGTTCGAATAAAATAAAATGCGTAGTTTATATTTTTTTTTTGTGTATTAATGTAGACATGTAAATATTATTTTTACAGATGACGGAAGCCAGTAATAGATCATATGTAGGACTTGATGCTATTGTACAAACATGTTCAAAAATTTATCCTGATCAATTGAATCCAACTCAAGCAGCAAGTGTAGTTAAATATTGGTACAGCTGTTCGAGATAATAATAATGATTATTTGAATTTATTGATCGATTTTTTTTAGGCTTGGTGGATCGGAATGCTTAGATTATATATCAATTTATCATAATCAAGGTAATGAAACATCACCTGCTCATTGGCATTACGTTACATTTGGCTTCAGTGATCTTCATGGCGATAATCGAGTACATAAGTAATTTTTTGATGTCTACATTTTTATCATAAATAATCGAAACAAAAAACAAATTTTCGATGTTTCTAGAGTTTCATCTAAAGATGATCCTAATCTAATTTCTGGTTATGGTTTTGAATTAACATTTCGTTTACGTAAACCTGCAGAAATTAGTAATTCTGTTCAAGATATTCCATTATGGCCATGTAAATTATTGCAATATTTAGCTAAATATGTTTTTAAAACAGGTACACAATTTCATGCTGGTCATCATATACCATTTGGACATGTTTTACCTAATTTATATTCATCTAATGGTGATACTCGTATACATGATTTACTAATAACTAATGATCGACAATTAAAATCTTTTCGAACTAATCTTGGTTCAGTAGAATTTTTACAAGTATATGAAATTCTTTTGATTCTTTCCTATTTTTTAGACTTAAATATATTCTTTTACTTTAAAATTAGCTTGTTGGTTGTTTTGAAAATGAACTTGAAGCAGCACAAGAATGTAATGTTGCACAAATAATTGATTTATTTAGTACAAGTCGAAAGTAACAGAAAAATAATTCTATATTAAAAATCATTATTTTTTTTCTTTTGTTGTCACATTCTATAGAACAGGTGGATCTCTTTTGGTAACAGATATGACACGTCAAGAATCAGTTTTTGATATTATACCAAATGCTAAACAACTGACTCGAGAAAAAATTGAAAAAGAAGGCTCGCAACTTGGTCGAGTACTTGCCAGATGTGCTTGGAATGCTGAGTATGTCATACATATTAAATATACATCTTATAATAATACATGTAAATTTATTTATATTGGTTTTTTTAATTTAGATCTGTTTCAGCGAATGATACAAATTTTCGTCCAATCTCTTCAATTGATCTCACATTTGATTTAGATGCAGCAAAAATATTTATTAAAATTCTTCGGTAAAAAAAATTATTATTTTCTCTTGAAATATTTATATTAAATATACATCTATGAATAGAACACGATTACGTCGTGGTAAATGGTTTATATTTGATTCTTTAAATGATCAATCAATTTGTTTTATTTCAATGGATGCTAATAATCAAGGAATTATGGTTAATTCAAATCAACAAATTATGGTTTTAGGTATTCGTGAAGCACAAATACTACTTTTACCTGATCAAATTGATCTATGTACAGATCGTATGTCACATATAACTAATCTCAAAGTAAAACCATTATGTTATTTAAATTAGAAAATAAAAAATCTTTTTGTTTTTCTTATGTAGGACGAACATACACTTCCATTAAAATATGAAATTCCATTTCATAAGAATACAAAGATGATTATATCAATTATATCTTCTAAAGAATTTAATAATGATACTATAGAATAATCAAATGTTCTGAATGTCGTTTTTGTCTGCTTTTTTTTCTTTAATTCTCTTTACTAACAAATGATGTCTACCGTCCATTTATTTAACTTTCTTCACTTTTTACTTTTTAATGTCTGATACTTTATGTGAAATAAAAAATTTCTCAATGTAGAAAAAAAAAAGAAAAGAAAATTAATGATAATTTTTTTTTCGACTAATACAATACAAAGATAAATGTTATTAAATTGAATAGAACAATAATGAATTTCCTTCTGTTCTTTTCCCATCATTCCGGAAGGTATGTAATAAAATGACTGAGGCCATATATATATATATATATATATAAAGAATAAGAATCAGGTCATTCTTTTCTTCTTTGTCTTCTACAAGAGCATGCATATATGTAACTCTTAGTAGTAGAGGCATCGGCCTTTCTCCCTCGTCCTTTTTTTTTTATATTGATAGAATGAATTAGGATGGGACAAAAGCGAAGTGAAAGAACACGAGAGAAAAAAATAGTTCACCGCATTAACGAGTACGTAAAAAAAAAAGGAAGCCAAGAAAAGTGTCACTTTTTTTGGTGTGTAAAAGTTGAACTCCAGTGCAGATGTCTGTATAACAAAAAAAAAGGAAAAGAAAAGAAGGTAAGTGCGAGAAAAAATATCATTTTCACATAAGTTAAACAAGGAAAAAGGTAAGGTTTATCTATTGAAAAAACAACCGAAGCGGATGTTCATATGTTGTTATTATTATTTATGGATGTCATTATAAAATTATGTTACTAGAGTACAATTGCTTGAGGGAGTAAAAGACCTCGACAATTTTTCTTTTTTTTCCTTGATGGTATATAGCTTCAACTACTCTGTTAGAAAACTTGTCTACACATTTGTCGATTTTTCTTTCTTGAGAAATCGTTTTCCTAGTTTGTTTGCTTCGATAAGAAATGAGGAAAAAGAAAAAAAAAGAAAAAAAATGATCGTTGAATAAGAACAACTAAGGAATGACGATGCTTCTCTTCTATACAATTCATTGAAAATCCGTCTAATTTGTTCTTTGTCGTTTCTTGTTGCATTCATTGCTCAGTGCATCTTTCTATGTTGAACCGCAACAAAAAAAAATAGAGAAGAAAAATAATGGCAACGACATAAGAGAGATTTTTCCCATTCCCTCCCATCGTATTCTTTTCTCTTTGAGTCAGTTTTTTTTTCTCTTCTTCACTCATTTTTTAGATCGAATATGACAAATAGATGAGGACGGCAATGACAAGCTTGATCCACATACGGCTATTCAAAACAATCCCGACTATGATAGCCGTTTTAATACGATTTCCGCTGTCATCACTAAAAAGATCTTGACACTACTATTCATAACATCACACAAAGTTCCGTAAGTGATGATAGCAACTGCGTTCACATACTTATTAACATGACCTTTTGAATGTATGTACTTCAAATGCTATAGATCATTGCATCATGAGTTAGCTCTCTATGCACATGAGAGAAAGAGAGAAGCAAAGAAGAAAAAAAAAACAAGAATATGAAACTTAGATTTGGTCAGACAATCATATCGTCCTTGATGTTTGTTCGAGATGCAAGACGTCGTTGTCCTTCTATCATAATTCGCTGCCAGTCAGTTAGATAAGAAATTGTTATGAGGGCTTTTATGATTTAAAGTACGTCTCGAAAATAGGCTGTTATCATTAAAATAATCATTCTGTCTGACTCGAACAACAGTACGTATATATGTGCACATTTTTTTTCTATTCGAAATACAGAAATGTATGTCTCTTTCTTCTACAACTGGTGCATTGAACATTATAAGAGTTCTAATCTTTTTCTGATGTGAACTAATGATTTGTCGATATCTATCTATCGAATGATAAAAATGATCGGTAAATATCCTAAGGGTAGTCGACTATTCTTCTATTTTCATTTCTTTTTCTTCTTCTTCTTCTTTTCTGCTTCTAACCTTGATTATTATTCATGCTAACCCGTTATTAATTTATGCAAATAGCATGTTTATTTGCTAGTTCGTGTGTATATACGCTTTATAACCGTCATCATTAGTAGTAATAATAGTAGGAATAGTAGTACTACTATTAGCAGCATCTGATCATTGTCGTAGTATATGAGATGAAGGAGAAGAAGAAAAAAAGAAGCAAATTATGAGAGCTAAATAAAGAGATTGTGCTTTTATATTGAATGAATCAATCATATATATAATTTTATATCAGCTCATTTCACTTGTATAGTGTTGGTCATTCTAATGATCTTCCATGTTTATATGTCGTCGCCGGTCTATGAATATAAATCAAGCTTGTGTGTCCCATACGAATCAATGTCATATGTAAGTTCCTGTTTGAGTTGATGAATGAAATATAGAGAGAAAAGAGAAATATCTATTGCATCACAATTGATGGGAATACTAGACTGTATGTATGTGATCCCATTGATCCCTCAAACGTGTCAATACATTCACATACAGTTATTTGCATATACTAGCGTCATCACTCTACCATGAAGTATAGATTCCCTATAGATTAGTCTTGAATTTTTCTTTTTTTTTTTTGAAGTTGACTTCGATATGTAATCGATCTATCTTATCATTATATTAAAACAAAAGCAAAGCGCCAGAGAGAAGAAAAACATAATTGAACTACAGCTGAAAGTTATTTCTACTAGAGTATCAGAAAGGGAGAGAGAGAGAGAGAAGTTACTCTTCCTATTTTTCTTTTGCGTAATGCATGACGGTGTTACTATATACACACGCATATGCATGTCTATCAATCGTATAATACTCTTTCCTTTTTTTTCCCTAGAATGTTCAACTATCGTCATCATCATACTCTATTATATAATCGGAAACAAAGTGTTTCATTATTCTTTTTACTTATAAAACAAATAAATATAGTCACACATTATCATTGATAGTCTTTTTTCTTTGTTTTCTAGACAAGTTTGATAAATTCATTATGTTTTATAAAACTCCATTTCCGTCTCTTCTTTCTTTTCTTATCTTAATGATTGGATGTGTTCTTTTTACAATGTCAACTCTATATACCATACATAGAGTTCAAAATAGTGAAAAATGGTCATGTAAAAAATGGTATATAAGACAAAAAAAAAATAAAATCATCTTATTGAATTCTTGTTTTTTTTGCATTCAAAGCTTACATTTCAGTCGACTTATCGTTGGATGTGGTATTGCCATAACATTTGTTTTTGGTATATGTTCTGTTCTTTTAGCAAGTATTTTAAGTGGAAAAACTCGTAAAAAATATTTTTGGGGTTATCGAAAAAATTTATGCGCAAGAATTTTAAATGGTCTCGTAAGTATAAAGAAAAAAAAACAAAACGTATGTTTTATTTCATTTTCTTTTTTCGTTTAATTATAGGTTTTATTTATAACATTTCTTTTAACACTATCATGGTTTAGTGTTGCTTGTTTAACATTTATTCCATTATATGGTCTTTTGTATATCTATTTTGTTGTATGTAGTAATCGTTATGGTACTGCTGGAGGTAGTTTTGTAAACAGTAAGTAGTTTATAAATATGTGATATTTTGGTTTCTTTTTTTAAATTTTTTTGAATATTTTAGTTTTAAATGAAATTAATCAACATGCACATCGATTGGATGAAAAACCAACTCAATTTAAACTTGCAGATATTTGTCATCCAGTAAGTATTTAAAAAGACTTTATTAAATCTTATATTTGATATCTCCAGTCAATACGACTGGAAGATCAATCTGAAAAAGGCATATCTATTATTGACATTGAACTCGAGCCTGTTAAGTATCATTCATCTTTCACAAATAAACATTTACATGATGCCCCTTATCATACCCCCTATGCTCTCTCTCTCTTTCTCTCTCCAACATATTTTGATGACTAGCTTTATGATTGTTATTTTTCTGTGATATATTTTTTTTCTTACATATTCCTTGCACTTTCTCACACTTTTTCCTCAACAAAATAAAGATATGTTTTTTTTTTAAAGGCTTAGCTTGGTTATTATATTCGTTGCTTGTGCCTATTTATATAATTTTAAATTATGCTTATAAAACATAAGAAAAAAAACTAAGAGTTTGAAAGCAAAGAAGAATATAGGAAAATTAAAAAATATCTTTGCTTTTTTCTATTTTTAGTCTTATCGTGATTATTTCAGTTTAAGTATTGTTACAACAGCATCATGCGTATTAATTATAATTAGTTTGGTATGATTATGATTATGATTAATTTATTTTTTTTTTCTTATTAATGAAATTTAATCTAGATCTTTTTAATGATCGCTCAAGGCGCAAATCATGCACATATATATAATGATAGAAGTCGATATGAAATAGCACAAAATGGAGATCAAGAGATTGAAGAAACAAAAATGTGAAATTAAATTTAATATGTATATACTGTTGAGAACAGTCATCTTTCTTTTTTCTTTTTTTGTTTTTTAAAAAGAATATATATATGTTCACGAATTCAGTCAGTCAATGTTGTTGGTTGTTTTCTTTTTCTATTTCGTTGTTGTTTGCGTATTGTTCAAAAATCAAAACGAAAAAACAAACAAAAAAAGTTTTCAACCAAGCCAATTGCATTTATGACGGAAGTTCTTGCTTTTTTTTTCCTAGAGCGCAGTTCATTGTACAGTTGCATGATATGTTCTTTTTTTTTCTTTTATATATATATATATATATCAATGTGTGTATGTGTGTGCATGTGTTCGATTTGTGGAGGATTGAATCTTTTTTGAAATATAGATATGTTTGTGCTTTTTTTTTCTTTTAAGAACTATTTAAAAAAAAAAGAAAAAAAAATTACACAATTCATGATATTAATAATAATGATACAATCTGTCACTATATGGATAAAATCCTGAATAGAATGATGATCTTCTTGAATGATTTCGTCCTATATATTGTGAAGTAGCATGATGAAGTGGTATTGTATTTTGAATGTGTTCATATTCACCATAATAATTTTCGTTTGATAATGGTGAATGTACATGCCATTGACGTGTACTTGCATCACGTTCAAGAATAGCAAAATTACAAAAATTAACCCTACCAGCTTCATATTGAAGACGTTCAGGTCGTGCAGAAAGACCAAGCATACCACGTGTTATTACTTCAATTGAAGCAGCATGTCCAGATAATAAAATAGTACCGCCTTGATTTTTATGTGATTTAACAATTGCATCAATAAGACGACGTGAACGTTTATAATAATTTCCTTCATCTTCTGTTGCATTAACAGTATCATAAAATGGTGCATAAGATGAATTTATATTAAAATGTCTATCCATTGCTAAATATTCAGGTGGTACAAATGAAAGTGGTGCACCGAAATACCATGACGGACATTCGAATAGACCTTCAAAAAACAAAAAAGATTTTCTTTTCACAAGAAAATATATATGTATGTTACAGGAGAAATTAAAATCAAGGACAATTTAAAATTCCTCTACAGGAAAATTAAAGTTTTAATCTCTTCTACGACAAATAAAATCTATAGATGTGAGAAGTGTGAGACTTTGCTTGACCTTACACATTCATACTCCATAATTTTAAATTTCTCCTATAACATAAAAAATATAGATTGTCTTTTGTTTTCATCGTACCAGGTTCAATATTAATTGGTACAGCTTTTTGTCCTTGACTTTCAAGAATTTTAGTTGCTGTTTGTATTGATCGATAAGCAGGTGATGAATAACAATAATCAATTGGATATCCAAGTTTAAGTAATTTTCGACCAGTTAATTGACCTTGACGTTCACCATGATTCGTTAATGGTGGATCAAATTCCCATTCATTATAATCTGGTCGATGTGCTAAATATGATATTCGAGATCGACGAGCACCATTGCTTTGTAATCTTGCAAACCAATGTGGTCCTAATGCTACATCAGCACGTTCACCATGACGAGTTATTATAATTCGAAGATTATCTTGGGCAGAATCTGTACCAAAAAGATTTCTGAGGAAAGACATTTTATTTAAACTAATTTATAGTAGAAAAAACGAATATGTCTATTTGTAGTTTATCGTTTTCTCTTGAATATTAAAATATATGAGCCATCAAGGTTTTAGGCTCCAAACATATATTTCTTTATACACTCTTTACAATATATTTTATACTACTTAGTAAATGTTCATTGAAGCAAAACATCGAAGGGCAAGACAATAAAGTAATGATAATCAGCATGTACCATCATAATAGTCATTTAATGGGACTAGTCTGTTTACTAATAACTTTTAACAATTTATTTTTCTTTTCATATGATAGCGTGTTCGTTACTAATTTGAATAAGAGCAATAGAAATTGACTTTTTCAATCATATAGACATAAAAATCAAAAAAGAAATCCATTATGCTTTATGTTCAATACAAAAAATATTAAAATAATTGAATGAAGTTTTATTTTTTAGTTATTCTATTGTTGTAGTTTGTTTTGTATGTATAAATTCAATTATTTGTTTTGCTAGATTATTAAATTTTGAGCATAACATTGTTTCATTTTCTTGTATAATTGGACGACCTTCATCACATGCTCGTCGAAAATGTATATCAATAGGTAAGGATTGAAGAATATTTAAATGAAATTCATTTGCTAATAATTGACCACCATTTTCACCGAAAATTTTTTCTTCATGACTACATTTTGAACAAAAATATGTTGAAAAATTTTCTACAATACCAATTATAGGTACATGAACAAGACGAAACATTTCAATTGCTTTTCGTACATCAACTAATGAAAGTTCTTGTGGTGTTGTTACCACAATAACACCAGATAATGGAATTAGCTGTGCTATAGATAATTGTACATCACCTGTACCTGGTGGTAAATCAATAATTAAATAATCTAATGGAGACCAAGCAACTTGTCGAAGAAGTTTTTCAATAGCTTGCATTACCATAAGACCACGCCATACAATAGCTCCATCAGATTTAGTTAAAAATCCTATTGACATACATTTTAAATTGAAATTAATTAATGGTTCAATAAGATTTGTTTTTGTTATTGTTGTTGCTTTATGATTACGTAAATTGAGTAATGTTGGAATTGATGGACCGAATATATCTGCATCCAATATTCCAACTCGATAAGATAAACGAGATAATGCAAGAGCTATATTAACACTTATAGAAGATTTACCAACACCACCTTGAAAAAAAAAGAATTCAATAATAGAAATTATATCAAAACAAAAATCTAAAAAAGGAATTATTATATTTATTCAAGATGCAAGTCTAGGAACATGCAGTATTAATATAAAGACAGTTTCTCTTAGTTTGGTCGGAAGTATAAATCTCGAAAATAAAAAGATCGACAGTAAATTTACTGAAAAGAGGAGTGAAAATTTCTGATTTGAATCAAATATTTACAATTAAAAAAGAAAGATTGGAAGACAAGCAAAAAAGGTTTTATATTTTAGTTTATCAAAGTTAAGTCATGCTGTTATTGAATAACCGTAATTTTTTTGCTACAACTAAAGACCAATCATTGAGAAGGACAGATGATATAATGAGATAGTCATTATATCGATTATACAAAATGTTTATTCGATTTTGTAATGCTGTCAACCATTTAGTTTCCTGTTTTCAGGTATCGAATAGTTGTAGATGTGGGTGTTGCTCTACTCTTCATGTACCCGCAGACCTACATTCACAGTCTACTCTTTCAACCAAAGCTCAGGTCATTGTAGATACTGACTAGTGATTCACCGATACAAGGTTCACTGACTACACTGACACGTGTGTTCCCTGTAACATTGAGATACCAACTCTATCATAGTATGCCTTTTGTTTTTGGAGTGGTGTATTCCAATGCTTCAGTAAACATTGGCACCGATGTGTATTAATTACACTGAGTCGGCGGTCAACTAACTCAAACTGTACATCCCTAAATTCTGTTCGGAACCACTTTAATCATATATGACTGAAGACTAAAGAAAGATTTTTATAATTAATAGATATAAACTCGAATTCATATGAAAAATTACCTCATCGAATGAGTGAAATAAGTTGCATATACCTTTGCCTGAACCAACAGCAATAACATGTTGAACACCTTCAATTGGTGTTCGTTTTGGTAGACCACGTGCCATCATAGCTTGTTGATGTGGTGTAGGCTTTGTTGAATGATAACGTTGAAAAATAATTCGAAAACAATTCAATCGAATAAACATTTTAAAAATCTAAAAGCAAAAAAAACACACAAAAAAAATAATAAACCTAAATTTTAATTTATTTATTTTATTCTTTTATCTAATAAACGTTTAAATACATCATTAACTAAATCATCGTGTATACGACCATGATATTTTTTACAAACACTTGTATGTAATTGTTCAAGTGCTTTCTTTGGGTTGGTTTTATAACGATCAATTTGTTTAGGATTTTCTTCAAGAATTTTTAAACAAATTTTTTCTAATTCATTTTCATCATTTATTGCATACATATTATGTTCATCAAGAAATGATTTTAATGATCGTGTTGAATCACGACTTTTATTACATAATGTTAATAATGTATAAAGTGAAAAACGTGTTATTATACGTTTTTCTAAATGTTTTATTATATCAGCAAATAATATTGGTGATACAGCTTGAGCAAATTTACGAATTTTACGTCCATCGTATGATATTGATTTAACATCGCTTAATAAAACTTCTAATGCAATATGACGAAGATGATTATTATCAAGATGAGTCATAACATCACGAAAATAATCCTATTTAGAAAATAAAGATTAGAAACAAAAAAAAAATGATATTTATCTATATACACTTTTTCAAAAGATGATTTTGAAAGTATCTAAAAGTTTGATGGACAATGCAGAAAAGGAAAATGTCGAAAACAAAAGCAGGAACATTTTGAAGAGAAAAATATTGAACAGTGAGAATGAGGACTCAGGTGATAATGAGTGTGAAAAGGAGACTCTCATCCTCGAATTTATAATAAATGATTATAGATCTGTCTATCTGATACACTAAAAGTTTGATTATTTTTTTTTTGTTGTCAAGTTTTTATCAATCATTATAAATTGAATTCATACTTCATAACTAATAATATTGAATTTTCCCCTTACCAACTATGTAGCAAAAGAAAATTATCAAATAGATATTTTATTTTGAAAAAGTTTTTATATTAATATTGCTTCTCGGGTGACGATCAAATGTATATCAAAACAATAGGCTTTTTATTATTATTATTTTTTCTTGGAAATATCATTTCTTTATAGTTTTAAACACTTCAGACATTAAATATATTTAAGAAACTCCACCAATATATTCAATTTTTAAATCTCAAACTAAACTAAATCATGAGGTATCGAAGACTTAAAAGTAGCCGCAACACTTTTTTTAATTTATCAATAATATTCACGTCAAGCTACACATGTGAAAAAAATTCACAGTTTATTTTATGTTAATGGTATTTATGTAGAAACAATGAAAACATATTATGTTTCGATACCATGAACAATAAATAAAACCAGGAATTGAATATCTTTCTTCATTTTACAAAAACGATCAAAAAAAAAGGAAACAAATTTCAACAACATTGTGAGAATTCCTAAAATGAGTACTCATATATTCATTCGCCAAGTAATTATATTAAATGAGTATATGAAAAAAAGAGGTATGTTCAGATTTCTGAAAAAGGAAATTACAGAAATTTCCGAAGCTTCCATCAACTCGATCACTACATAGCAAAGCAAATGAAAATATTTTAGAAATATTGGAAAGTTTAGAAATTTTAGAATTTTCTGTAATTTCGGAAATTTCGCTACGTATAGAATTTTGAAAATTTCAGAAATTTCGGTAATTATATAATTTTGGAAAGTACCAAACAATTTAGAACACAAGTGCTTGAAATTTCCAAAACTTCCGAAATTTCCTTTTTCGGAAGTCTGAACACTGCTGGAAAAAAAAAAGATTCAACTATTTGAGAATATACAAGTAACAATAGTTTAATTGTACTATTTCATTTGAATATTCAATTAATCAAGTACAACCTGAAAGTTTCTTTAATTTGCTTCGTCTTACTGGAACCTACTCATAAACAAAATGTGGAGTCAAAAGTTCAGAAACAATGGAGATGTTTCCATCGTTTGATATTTTCAAGTTCTAAACTTTTTTGACTTGTTAGAATGAATAGGAATGCACAGAGCATTATGACCATCCTTAATGAAACTTGAAAGTCCAGGTCAACGATTCCAGTGGACTGATCTGTGAACTTCCAGTCGGTTCCTGCCAGAAAACTCGAAAGTAGAAGTCCAGTGATCGAATTTTTCTAGCTCCGAGCAGAATCGGTCACTGAATTCCTGCTTCCACGTTCCTACCGTTTTCTCGAGTTTTCAAGTCAAAAACGGCCTGTATTTCTTGACCTGAAATGGTATGAAAGAACTTGTAAATTTGAATTTTAAAATAATCAAATTAATAAATATTCTCATTTAATTTAAAATATTTGAAAATTTCCAATAAGAATCTTTTGTTTAGAAACTATTTTTATTCTACTTTTTTTTTTCTTAATAATTCAATATGAAAACTTACAATCATATCAAGTCGAAGTAATTCATGTAAATGTTCAGCTGTTAAAAAATCTTTATATTTATCTAAATATTGTTTTCTTTCATCTAATGGTGATATTGGTATATTTCTTTTAATATCATCAATATTAACAAAATTTTTTCCATATATATGTTTATCATTATCATCATATAAATATAATGGTGGTAAATTTGGTTCAATCATAAATCGATAATCAATTTGATCTTCTTTACGTCTTAAATGTATTGTTTGATATTTATTTGTATCGTATGTACGAGTTTCATTTTTAATTGAATAATTATTTGTTAATAATTGTTCTTGTCGTTTGATTTCAAAATCAATAGCTTGTCGTACATCAATGAAACTTCCAAGATTTTTTATTTCAATACGATTACCATCTGGTTTTGTATTCATACGATGTAAACTAACATTAGCATCAACACGTACAGCTGTTTCAAGACCACTTTGTTCACATATATTATATTTAATTAATAGACGATTTAATTCACGTAAAAATGATTCACCTTCAAGACTTGATTGTATATCAGGTTTAGTAACTATTTCAATAAGGCCTGTACCAAAACGATTCAAATCAATTAATGTACGATTTTGATGATCATCATGAATACTACGACCAGTATCGTGTTCAAGTTGAATACGTTCTATACGACATTGTTTTATAACAAATGAATTTTGATTATCAACAAACTAAAGTATAGATGTATATAATAAAAATAATTATTTTATTTATTTATTGAGTTTTTTTTTCTTAAATACTTTATATTTTGTTGAAGATTTAAGTTTATCTTTTTTAATTAATAATGGATAATGAAAAACACCATTCGATGCAAATGGATATCTTTGTTGAGTTATTTGATAACCTGCTGGTGAATCAGGATAAAAATAATGTTTACGTTCAAAATGTGAAATTTTATTTAGTTGACAATTAAGACCAAGAGCTGCTCGTATACCAGCTTCAAGACAAGTACGATTAAAATATGGTAATGAACCTGGTAAAGCCATATCAAATGGTGTTACTTGACTATTTGTTGTTTGTGCTGGAGCTGATGATGAAGATGAAAACATTTTTGAATGTGTAGCAAGTTTAACATGAATTTCAAAACCAATTAATGCATAGAAACGACCACTTGATAGAACAGCAGCAGCAGCTGTAGCTGCCATGTTTCAATATATAACACAATGATGTGAAAAAGAAAAAGTGAAATCAAAAAAATAATGAACAAGAAGAGTTATGTAAAAACTAGATATTCGATTATCAGCTGAAGAAGAAATATTGATTGGTTGTTTTCAATATTGATTGTAGAAACAAATTGAATTATTCTGAAAGATGGCAGACTTATCTTATAGATTTATTTACAAAATTTAATGATAATTTTAAGAAAATATTCTGATAGATAAAGTTTTTCATACAAAAAAAAAAAAACTTTTCATGAATAATGTTATTATTTTAAATACTTAAAGCAATAATTCTTGTTTATTAAACGGATCACAGCGTCCTGACAAACTACTGCATAACGTCGTTTATTTCTAGGAAGTTATTTCGATGGGATTCTAAATAGACGCTGCGATTCATGTGTATATTGTAGAGGAAGGGAAAAGCGAGACTTCAGTCTTCCGAAGCACAGTGAAATACCGTACTACATTCGTACTTCAGAATATTGAAGTTTTGCTTTTTTCCTCATTGGTATATTATCAAGTATAAATTTGTAATATGCAAGAAAACTCGAGTCGATATGATATGTTCGGCTTTATGAAAGCACTTGTTTAGCAAATATTTTCATAGGCGAATATTTATAGATATAGGAGTAAACCTATATTCTTGTCTTTTCGTATATAGTGTTGCTCCAACTAATAGGAACAAGGTAATTTTAATTTCATTCTATGATTTCGAGTATTTAACTGGAATTCAAATAGTGATTTGGACATTCAATGAAATTCTCTATCAGATGCGCTATATATCAACGTTTCATAGATGGATTATGTGCGGAAGTTTTCTAAAAAAAAATTAATGCATTGTGTTAGTTCGTTATTAACAGTACTATCTGCAAGAGCACAAAATCCTGAATAAAATAATAGATCGCCACGTTTTTTGCGGCCTTCTCTAACCAAGTTACAAGTATCACAAAAAGCCAACAAAATATATTTTTTAGAGATTTTTTGATAAATTTCGCTCTTTTTTCGTTGTTTATGATGCTCATAACTTGGTAAGGAAAGGTCACAAGAAACATGATGACCCTTTGTTTTGTTCAGAATTTGATGTTCTTTTCGATGGTACTGTTAATAACGAACTCCCACGGCGTGTTCAGTTTCTTGAAAAGCTTCCGTACATAGTCCAACTATAAAATCTTGATAGAGAGTTCTATTAACTGTCCAAATCACTATCTGGATTTTAATTGAGCATTCGCCATCGAGAGACCTGCACGATGCTAATTTCGGAATCAAATACGTTTTTTGCCGAAAATCCAGGTTTAACATAAGAACTTCTTTAAATCATAGGTTTTATTGTGTATTATTTAATGTAAAAATCGATGTATTTTGTAGGTTCCAACGGCATCTTATCAAGACCTATGGATATGAAATAAAGTCGAACTCAAAAAAGAGTCAGAGTTGAATTTGACTCCGAGTCTGTTTTCGTGTCCAGATGCCCCTGTAAGGCGTTGTTGAAATCTCCAAAATGCATCAATTTGTGCAGTAAATATCAGAGAGCAAAAACAACGATTCAAAAAAGTTCTTATGTTAAAACTGAATTTTCAGCAAAACAATTACTTGGCTTCAAAATTGACTACATACAGCTCTCCATCAACGTCACAGAATGAAATCAAAATTATCTTGTCCTTCTAATTTTGACCAGTACTGTAAAATGTACAAACCAAATGATAAAAACGATATTTGTTATTCTTTAAAAAACATTGATCTCTGTCTTATTAAATAAATTCTTCATTTATTCACCATATCACATTTGAACATCTTTTTTTTGCATTATCTTTATTCACAATATTATATTTTTTCATGCAAAAATAAAATAT